TATCCGTCTGGGTATTTTCTTTGTATATTCAACATATATAATACTCATAACATAAGCTTTGCTTCGCTTGGAAGTCGATGAAGCTGTGTTAATATATGTCCTGAGATATTATTAATGTACTTTATGTCACGTTGCTTTTTGTATTTCATAATATCCACTTAAGTTTATTGTAGTGGAACAAATATTTAAAAGAATAAAAATTTTATCAGTGAAGAGAAAGAAAAAACGAATTTAACCAATTTGTATAAAACCAACTTCTATTCGAGATCTTTTCCGCGTCGTCATAATTGACCAGGATAAAAATTAACATATCTCTATCTATTGCAGACCCCACGTATAATATTTATATGCTTTATTTCATGATAATTGGTTAAGCCGTTAAAGCATGAATACAATAAACAAACGAACTCATTTGAGTGTTTATAATGATATTTAGAATCGCCCTGATAACTGACATAGACGCGTGCTCTGCATTGTTACGCTAATGAGCTCATATGGTAATGTGGTAAAATTAGAATTATGCATAAACCTTATTTATATCTGCAACAATTAAATGAAGTTGAATTAAGAACTATCTCCCAGAATAAAACTTACGCAGTAGTTTTATTTTTAACTAGCTGTTCCCGCGACTTCGTCCGCGTGGAATTTAACTTTATTTTTCTACAGTAAAAGATTTTTTCTAAAATAAAAGTAGCCTAAGTTACTCCTTATTACATCAGCTACGTGCCAATAAAAGTCTCGACAAAATCGGTCCAGCTATTTGAGAGATTAGCTGGTACAAACAGACAGACAGACAAAAATTGTAAAAAATATTATTTTGGTGTATGTACCGTATTTATATTCATATGTATGTAGTAAAAAACTGTTATTTCAGTATTACAAACAGGCACTCCAATTTTATTTATATGTATAGATATAGTAAAACAACGAAGTAGATATAGTAAATGTTGGTACTTCAGTCTACCTATGCAGTGGCTAAACAGTTACTTTTATTGCTGTACCTTGCTGGCTAAAAGCTGTTTCGGTTGAAGGGTGAGATAAGGAGGTAGTAATTAATTATAATAATAAATAATAAAATATTATAAATATTAAAAAATATATGAAATATTTAATTATATAAAATTATTTGATATGAATTTGACGAATGAAAATCATTTGACTCCATATTTTTTTACTATTTGAAGTGAAATTCACGTTAAGTTTCTTACCACAGTTCAGACCACATTAAACTAACCATGCAGGCAATTTATAACTAAATCTAAAATCGAATGCATCAGATTTCTATTGGGTTACATAATTATCGGAAGCCCAAATATTTAGGCAGATAGAAACCGCATTTCCGAACTACTAATGACTTGATTGCACATCAGCTATCGACCCACATGGTTGCGTCCTGATTACACATGTTTATAATTGCAGCTCCTACAAATGAACCCAACTCTCGATTCGCTGATAACGAAATGTTTTCAGTATATCATTCATTAATTTGAGCATATTGTGCGAGTGACAATTGCCCGATTACTGATTAAAGTGCTGCATCTGATAATTATGCTCCAATTCTGTAGCAAAATAACAGACAGTCATTATTTTTCATGTTTCATGAAATTATTTATCCCATTAAAACGTTACTTTCTTTTTAATGGTGCTTTTAAATTATATAACAAAATTTTTAAAAAATGTAAGAAGAAAACTGTAGGCTGGATTTATAAGATAGTCCATAACAAATATTTATTACATACATATATGAATCTGAGTACTAAGAATATACTCGTTGTAATTTACATTGTCATGTCAGTAGTTATAAAAACCCGTGAAAAGTTTAAGCTTGCCTACCTTTAACTAAAATTAATTTAATATTTTTAATATACGTTTTTTTATAATTGTTAGATTTTTATTTTCAATTAATTTTTATCGAAACTAAAAACATGGTATCAATTTAGAGTAGGTAATATATATTTTTTCCTTATTTAAGGGCAAGACAAAACGAATCAACTAAAATTGTCCCGTCTCGTATCGAGTCTAAAGGTTCTTTTTAAATTGAAACGATTGAAATATTAAGTAAGTTAATAGACTAATAATAGCAGTAGGTACAACAATATTTTATGTAACTTTTGTTTCACCGGGTACCAAAGCACTATTCGAATTCTAAAGAATTTTAATCAATATACCTACTTGTACACTTTGTGAGTAGGATGGATCCCTTAATCCTCTTACAAAAACAAGTCATGCGAAGCAACCCTAAAAACTTTGGTACAACTATTTTCACTGCTTGTAAATTGAAATAATTCGCCATGGTACACTGCATAAGCTTACAACCTGATTATATGTCTATAACTATGAGAAAATGTTTTTTTTCTTCAATGGAACTATTTATATTAGTTTTCACAATATATTTAAATTAAATTAAAACATTTCCTATATAAAATTATATGCTAATAATTTTTAAACTTATACCGATGCTGCCATATAGAATAAATAAAATAGTCAAAGCGAAAATGTATGCATTCCTATAGGAATTCCTAATTTTAAAAAAATACTTTATTTAGTTTTTTCTATTTATATTGACAACAGATATAAATATACATTTATAAATGTATTTAAATATTTATATCTGTTGTCTAGTACCCAAACAAAAGCTTTGCTTAGTCTGGGACTAGATGACTCTAGTGCATTGTCCAGAGTTTTTATTATTATTACACTCTGTATTAAATAAACGCTATATGTGTTTAAATTAAATATATAATGTTATACATTTATATGCATAAATGTATAAATATGCAAGTTGCGAACATGAAAACTATTTTCATTTCCCGCCACAAGAAAATGTTAAACAAAATGTGCTATAACTTTAATTTTAAAGGTTAGCTAAGTGTTGGTAAGCGCGATAGTGTCGTTCAGACTCGGCAGGGAAAGGAAACACATAAAGCAGTGCAAGCATTAATTACGAGTTCCGCAGGCGATCGTGTTGTTATCGCAACTCGGCGCGACTGCACCTTATAAATAGTATAATGTATCATTGCAAAATGATGGTTAATAATGATGCTGATTTAAATTATGACATCACGACTAAAACCACAGATGGGATAGTTAGAGCCATTACCAACTATCAACGATGTAATGAATGCAACATTTGATATGCCTAGATTTCCCATTCGTTAGTTAGTTATACTATTATTAATAAGAAAAGAAAGAAACAGAAGAAGGAAAGAGAAGGAAATGAAATTACGATATTATATTAAAAATACAATAGATGTTAATTAATTAATAAAATATGCATACATATATAAATATATAGGGACAGACTGCAACAGCGACTTTGTTTTATACTATGTAATAATGATGATGATGTAATCACAGATCAGAACAGTCATAATATCGAATTAAATAAATATTGTTTCTTCAACTCTAATATCAATATATTTATTGTTTACTTACACTAAACAAACTCGGAAGCTTATAAACGAAGAGTCAAAAGCTTGTCGTATTCCGTTATTTACACACATTTTTTTCCTAGAATCCAGCCTGTGTTCAACGTAAATGAATAGTGTAACACGTTCATATTAACTTACAAAGTGTTTCTTTTCACGTAATATTCTATACTCGCCTGAAAAGAGCAAACAACATTACGTACTCATACATTGTACGTGGACTCACAAAACAAACCACATAAAATTGGGAAAGCCACAGAACGCAACAGAGCTTATAAAAAATATACCATTAGTATAACGCGAGACGTAATGCACATTATATTTCATAACAGAACGAGAGGCCGAAAGACACCACTGTATCCATTTGTGATATCATGTTGTTTGGTATTCATGATAACAAATCTAACTGGAAAGGACACTCTCCGTGATTAAATTAAGAATAAGATGGTTTTGGCTACTGAAAAGAAAACATTATGATATTCTATTATTGTAGTGTATTATATTGTAGTCTGTATTTGTAAGAATCTGTATTTTGTTACTAAATGCTACAAAATTGTTTCCGTGTTAAAATAATATTGTCACTGGATCCCATATTAAATTAATAAATAACACTGAAAGACAAAAATCTTACTAAAATAAACAATATTTGCCGTAAATATGAGTAGGTTGTCTACATTGCACATAATTTATTTGTGATCCAAAAATTTATTTCATTATTTTTTATATGGGAATAAAATTATTTTTGCTGTCAATTCCACGACTTTATTAGGAATCTACAGACTTAGTCGCTGTATCCGTGTTTATTCGCCACAAGCGAATCTTTGATATCAAATTCTTTAAGAACAGACCGCACGTAGCCGCCCCCACATTCACTCATATTTTAGATAACGTTCGACTGTTTCTCTGCTCCTCCACAAACGGAATGTGAATAAAAATACGAATATTTTTACCATTTCGGTGAGTCGTGCAAAGATACTGTAATTTATTGTGGTTACTGCGAGTTCTATTCCTTTGTATTAAAAAGTGATCTTGAAATTATTATATACATATATGTAAAATAACCTAATAAGGTTACATTATTTTATGAATTACACTATTAATGTGCAATTTTATAATATTAATTAGGAAATAATTATAAGCAGTAGGATATTATTAGTAGGATATCCTAAAGAAATGACGATTACTACCGATGGTAGTTCTCGTCACACAGAGATATGATCTAATAAAATAAAATTTATATTTTAATTTCGATTGTATGAATATTCACCTATTAAACTTTTTTTATATACATACATATATAGTACAAAAACAAAATAACGGAATGTATGAATATAATAGGTATTTAGGTGACGCCTGTGATACTCCTTATATATTATAAAATAATATGAAGTAGAAGTAGGTATCGTATTACCTTCTGTAAAAAGTACTTTCAAGATAGAAGTTGCCATTTTATATAAATATATATATATATATATATATATTTGCCTAAAACTTATTATCTGGCATACCTACAAAAAATTAAACGTATAAATGATACAAATAGTATTTGAGGATTTATATTTTCTTTCATAGATATAGCAGAATCCGTCATCTACAAACAAAATGAGAAGATCAAGGCGGATATCAAGACTAAAAGGTAGCAGTAGATGGCAGCACAGGACCACGTGCTGAGACAAGATGGCGGTGGGCGCGAACATGCGAGGTGGCGGACCCTTATCGCGTCTTCTTGTCCTAGCTGTTTTACATGTCAATTTTATTGGTAAGTGGCTTTATTTTTTATTTAATAGTTGATTACAACTATTTATTAATAATTGACAACTTACTTATTTTTAAATACATCAAAATGTAATGAAGAATGTTCATAATAAACTTATTTAAATGAATATTTTGTAAAAAGGCAAGTTATATGTTTTAAATTCAATATACTAAAACAAAACTTAATTTACACCATGTAAGCTACTCATTGTTCTATTAGGTTCTATTCATTGTTCGTACGTAATATAATGTTATCATAAATATCAAATATTTCACGTAATGTATAAAAAAATAGTACTATAATTGAGAAAGTTTTCGACATCGGTCAAAAACAGGATGTAAACAAAACTCAGTCAATATAGCTCAACTTTTAGTCAGATATCTACTGTACAATAAGTCCAACAAGACATTTGCAAATGGATTTTTTGTAGTCACATTTTGAAGCAATTCATTCGACGATGATAAAAATATAAAAGCGGGGTAGAGTAACGTGGATAACCCTTTCAGAACTCAAAGCGTGGCTCGGAATCCTCATTGAAAAACGGCCCACGGGTCAAAATGTCAGAACGCTCCGTGAAACACGCGTGTCTCCGTTGGAAAGGTTATGGATGGATTGGCTAAATCTCTAGGGCACCTATCCGAATTTATATGTATACGTAAATATCGCGATTACTCATTTTGTGCTGACTCCATTCTGAGATATTTATTAGTATATTTTGTACAATGTGCAAAAATAAATATTTAAGTAACATCACAATAAAACATATATAAAACTATTCTTTGTGTTGTGATTCTTTATTTTGTTCTTTGCCATATGATTTCAGTTTTGTTATATAAATCAGATACATTTAAATATATGTCTATACTAACATAATTGCAATTAATTAACGAAGAACAATTGTAGTTATTTGAGAAATAATTAAACTATATACTTTATTCCATATATACATATATGTCAAAAATAACAAAATTATGATGATGTTTGTCTGCTAAGTCGGACTGCATCCGGGCGAAACTAGGGCAACCACTAATATATTTAATTTTTCTTATAAAAAATATATATTTTCATATTACTAAGCTGAATTACATTAATTACGTTATTGTACATTAGAAAATCTTTTATTTTTTCATTTCCAAATTATTAAAAGATCATATCTTTTGATAGCCCGATTAGTAGTGGACTTTGGTGTATCAGGAACTTACATCCGAAAGCATACATTCACTGCACGAACGATAAAAGATTTGACATGACCAGCCTTTTTTCCGACATGTAATTTTATATATCCATCAACACAAACTAATTTTAGTAAACATTATTATTACGAGTACTATTGTACTTATATTCTATATTTATCTTCACATAGAGTCAAGTCAAAGATCAACCTGATTTTGTCAGTTATGTCGCTGTAACGTATGGACAAAGTTATAGACAGCATGATGTATGTAGTATGTATTTATAAAATGTTCACCTTAACATGTTATGAGACCATATAATGCACATCTTTTGTCATTTTGCCTAATTTCACAAGTCGACAACCTTAGCTGCTATACACAGATGAGTAACCACTCTGGTCGCAGAAATCGAAATCTTATTTATATATGTATATTTTCTATTTTATTTACAGGTAGTTATTTTGTAGTAAATATGAAAATATGCAAAGTTATTTGGATTCGTTGTGTTTATTAGCAGTTTGTTACTTAAACAAAATGATTGGTCACTCAAAACATTTATTACATCTACTTATATAAATTGAAGATATCCTACACAAAAACATAAGACACTGTAGATATATCTATAAAATAAAAAATGGTAATTAAATTAGACGCAAAAAGAAAGATGTACAACAGGTGAGCTGTTCATAGTAGTGAACATTTGAGCAATAGTCAATTTTCTCTATTTCGTCGGGCAATTCATTCATTCCAATGTTTAGAGTCTGTCTCTCAGATTAATTGAATTTTTTACCTCTATACATTTAAAATTAGTCGCATATTTTTATTTAGGTTTTTATTCAATTTTTGGAATTACTATAATATTATTTAATAATTTTAATTAGCTATTGATTAAATGTAATAAGTAATAAAATAAATTTGATCAGACATTTTTTTTAGTTTTTACCATAGTTTTTTTCCACTATATTTATGGTATAAAATGACTAAGAATATGTAGCATTTAGTAAAATAATATTATTATGTGTTGCAGTATTTATGTATATTATGTAGTAATATAATATTAAAGGATAAATGAAAAATTCATATTTACTCATTTTTAAATGTTCTTATGACGTATTGAAAGATGTTCACACAATAATGGAGAATTGCAAAATTCACGATACTAGCTCAGCACGCGTAGTATCTAGCAACAACGCGCACGGAATTAAATTAATCTCGTTGTAAAATTTTCACTTGCCACCTTATCTCCCGTCGTATTGTCGTTTTATTGTGCCTACCCTGGAACCATTAGCGAAAATGTCACAGCGACGGCATTGTAATCGCGCCCGCGGCTCGCCCGCACAATGACGACCGTTCGACCCCGCCCGGCACCCGTGTACACCTACCTTTACGGTACGATACAAATTTCAGTTTCTATAACAAATGAGGATGCGCACTCCTATTATTTAGGGAATAGGTGTATTAAACCTTTGTATGAATTCGTGTTTGTACTCCATGCTGTGGATCCGGATAATTTCATATGAAATGTTTCATAAAAAGAATTTATTTTCGACGTTAGTCGAATTTCATTAAAAAAATGTACTGCTAATAATTTAATTGCACTATAAGTCAGATTATTTATTTACAATATATAAATTAAATTATTAAATTGCTATTATAAAAAAACAGGCAATGAAAATTTACAAGATGTTATAATTGTCCTCATTTATTATATTTTCATATATTACAAAATACATTAAATTTTCCGACTAAAACGAATGTAAGAGATACGATTTTTTTATTGGGCAGAGAGGATGATAATTACAATCAAAATACAAAGCAACAAACAAAGCAGTACATGATACTAGTTTACAATAAAAGCCCATCCGAAAATGTATGTATGAGTAAACACTTTTACGACGGTGTCGCCCAAATTTGCACGAAATTCTTCGCAGCAAATCTCTCGTGTCCATAGGCTGATTCTCCTCACGTTGCGAGCGAGTGGCCGACAAAGGAAAGAGGGCTTGCATACCTTATTACCACCTTTTTGCGAAATCCCTACTTACGCGAAACACGACACACACTTGTAGGCAACTTGGAATGACAAATACGTGCTGACGCAAAATGATGAAGTGGGTTTAAGACGATATTATGGACAGGTCTTATTCTGTGAGACTTCAAAGAACTAGTACAGATCTTTTTTTATATACTAAAAGTATTCTATATCTTTAGTCGTAATAGTCATAAGTATGTGTTCGTGTCACACGTAAGCACAAGGTGGACGAAAGCAACGGAAACAACGACAAATGGCTTTCCTTGTACATATTACATACTTTACGTATTTTCTTAATTAATAAATATGGTATATTTAATTAATATTATTGTCTAATTTATATATAACTAGCTACTCGCTCCGGCTTCGCCCGGGTGTACATATATTATATGTATTAAACTTCCTCTAGAATCACTCTATCTATTAAAAAACCGCTTCAAAATCTGTTGCGTAGATTTAAAGATTTAAGAATACATAGGGATAGACTTTGACAGCGACTTTGTTTTATACTATGTAATGATTGTTTATGAATAATATTGTTGTTAATTTGACAATCAATAATATTCATTATTATTATATCGATTTATAAAGAAACATAATAAGTATCGTGTACAGTGCATAAAACAAAAATCTTCGAAGTTTATATAATCTTACAAATAAATAGAAATTGATATATGGTATTTATAGTAAGGAAAAAATAATATAACGTTCTATGTAAATATTTTTATAGAACATTATATTATTTTTTCCATAAATAACAACTAATGAACCAAAGGGCTATTTAAACGAGAGTTCTTGAATATTTTTCTATATTAGAATGTCACCATGGCTTTCCTTACAATTAATCAGCGAGTCAATGAGCCGTTTTGTTTGGACATAGAGTATGAGTAATCCTTCCCTTGTGACTTGCCGACAGACACAAATAATTACCAAAAACCCTTAGAATTTCAGTTTACAAATTGTATAGGTACTGCCATTTCGGCGGGTATTTATTTATGGTGAAAATTTGATTTTTAAAATTTATATAAATATATAGTACGTAACAAAAGCTTATCAGTGTAGCTTTTGTAAAGTACTATATATTTATACGCAATCAGAGACTATGTAGTAGTATATGTGAGGTAGAAATAATTATACTTTATCCTTAGTAATTTAATTTGTATGTATATCGTCAGTCTGTCAGTCAAATAACAAACCAGTAAAAATAAATACATTGACAGAAAAATTATAATGGTTTTTTTTATTTATAAATAATATTATAATTTTTCTAACAGAAATATAGCAACATATAAAAGTTATTTTATACACTATACGATACATAAAAAATGTGTCATTGTAATTACATTTCTATTACTTCCAGATCTTAATTGAAAACACAACATGTACTTTATATATAATACTATATTTGATAAGTGATATCTGGTTTGAAAATTCGTTAATTAAAAAGTATTTTCTCATTAAATTCATACCAATCCAATTTTCCAAGGAAGTAAATAAACCACAGATTGCAAGTATCATTATTCTAAGTAATCCCTTCTTAGAACGCAAAATGAAACGGGCATTTATAATGTTTTCTGTTAATTAATTATACGTTATTATCTTTTATTCTTAGAAACAGACCTATTCGGCTATCCTAATGTAGCATCCTAATTTGTAAATCGTTGCACGTCAGTTCAGCTCCTCATTTCAGTAGTTTTCCGAACTAGTTTATATTTTGTATTAAGATTATAATTTGGATTACTTGTACAAAAAGTTAAATAAAAACAATATTTTCAAATTCCAATAGATTCGGACTCCTTTTT